TCAATGCTGATGAATTATTATGTCAGATGGCTGAGAATGTACCAAAACCACTTGAAACTATTATATTTATAATGGATTATGATAATCCATGGATATTTAGTGCTAATAGTTTAAGAAAATTTTTTGAAGGGTGGCGTTGTAAAGGGGGAGAAGGAAATAAAATGCCTAGGAGATTACGTATTAAACGTTCATCTACCTCGGATGGTTTATTATTACCATCATTAAATTTGGTAGCAATAAGTAGCGAGCATTTTAAAGTTATTGAAGAATATGGAATTCAATTTGATATAAAATAATAATCCAATTCTAAACAATTATTTTCAGTTAATAAATATTTACCTATTTTTGTTACCGTATTTTTATTTTTGATTATTATTTTATTATTTTGAAATAGTTACACATTTGATCAGTAGAATTCGTCTAAGAACGTCGATGTCTTTATTTATATATCAATCTTAGTGACTATTCCTATAAGGTCTAGAATTTTTCTTATGTTTATATTGCCCATGAAAATTAATTTCCGTCTGTATTTCTTAAATTTCTATTTTTCTTCGATATAAAAAAATGGCAAATAAAATTCGCACAGAAAAATTGATTATAACCATCATTATTAATTAATCGAAAGTTGCTATGACTATTTATAAATTTTACTTTGAATCAAGAATATTGTGTATTAAAGAATGCAATTTTAGATAACAATTTTGAAAAAAATTTATCAATATAGTTTGATAAGCTTTGATTTTGTTGTGTTACAAATTTAAGATATAATTTTTATTAAAATATCGTATTGATTTTATCATTAAAATTAAAATTGATATTAACCAAAAAAAGTACACTATTTTCTCTTAACTAATTCTCTATTTATTTATGTATAAAATTTACAGTATGCTTTTATAATGAATAAAATAAGATATACAATCAACCACTATCAGGTGTATTGGATGGCTCAAAAATTTAAAAAAAAAATAAATCTATAAAAACAATCCAAAGAGTTCATCAATACAATACTTTCTATGTACCATAATTCTTTGTATTATTTCGAATGATTATAATTGTTGGAATTACTACTTTTTTTATCTAAAATAAAAGATAAAATTAGAATTTAATTAAAGAAATAATCAAAAATAACAGAAATTGCGAAACTTGATTTTAAATTTTGGTTCTCCACAATTAATATATCTTGATCAATTTATTATGTGGTGTTATGGAATCATTTTTTTACTACTAAAGTATATAGAATTATACAATGGATTTCAAAGAGGCTGGAGAGTATTAAAAAAGTTCAATAAATTTTTAAATATTAAAAATCTCACCTTGCAAGTCGCGAACTCAGGATCACAGATCTGTAATACTGTAACATAAAAAAATTACTCAATTATTCTAGATCAAAGTAATTCTTTAAAAAATAATTTAGATCCATCCAAAAGGGTAGGAAATATTTAAGGAAATCCCAAGAAATATTATTTAAAGAAATCATTTAGATTGATCCACGAATTCACAATATCTCAAGAAAATAATAATGAGCCCGAAATTACTGAACCTGAACCGTTCCAAGAAGGTTAGCAAATATTAAAGTATATTTACGTAATATAAATAATTATACATATTGCTATCTTATTTTTATATATTCTTTTATTAATTATTATTAGTATTTATTTATTTATTACTTATTATTTTCTATTAGTCATGTAGTACCAATTATAATTATTACTGAAGAAATAATGTACTTGTGATCACCTATCATATGAATATACACGTGCAATTGTAAGCAGCCAATAGAATTCTGTAATCAAATTTTAAAATTTTTAATGTTACTGGCTTAAGGCCCGTGCCTTTGGCACGGGAAATTTGTGATTTTTTTAGTACAACGATGACATTAAGGAGGTGTTTTTTGATTACTATAAATTTTTCATTTTTGGAAAAGACTGCTAGCCGGTTTTTTTTTTTATTTGTAAATTTCAAGTTAAAATGTTTGTGGAACATTTTTGCTAGTGTGTGAAATTTTGTGTAGTTTTTGTGCCACGAAAAAATATAAATTTATGTAAGTGGTTAAATATCTTTAGTTTTTAATATATAATTTACACCGACTGTTAAAAAAAAAGATTCTATTTTCTTGATGCCCTGTTACGCTGATACCATTGTGAGGGTTAAGTTGGTTCGTCTTACAGAAAAGCGAGACAGTAAACTATTGGTGTTTATCCTGTCGGACGTGAGGATAATGAAATTGAGTTGGTCATGTTCATCTGCTGAATGCTTTGAATGCTTTCGTATCCTCAAGAAATATCTTACTGAAGAAATACTTTTCTGCCAAAGACATGAAATTACACAATCTCTTTATTATTATACAATAATGGAAATTAAGGAATTATCCCAATAATAAGCATACTGGAGAAAGTTATGATATACAAAAATTTCATCTAACATCTCTTCTGGAGGATCTTTCTTCAAAAGATATTATCAAAATATATAAAGTTCAACGACGCCATTGCATTCATGTGAACTTTGTTAATGTTCTTAATGATCTCTCACATTTATGCACATGCATGCCACTTATTAATTGTGGTTTAATTTGTCAGCATTTTTGGCATGTATTTGTTACTTATAGCAATGTTTTTTTCTTATTCCTAGACGTTGGTATAATAATGAAAAAATTCAAGGTTTATATTTAGATGAACTACCCTATATAGTGAATACTGGTTCGGCACAATCTGAAGGCTCCCGCACTTTATCCAATGCAATATATTTCTAGGTTTCGTGATCGTGATGTTCTTTGTTCTGAAGTTCACCATGTGATTCAAAAATGACATAATTATGGAGAAACATTTTGTCTTGCTCGAAAAGCAGTTCATATTGCAGTTGAAATAGGTGGTGATTCTCTCTTTCGTCTTAAAAAAGTTATCAGTAATTGGTTGGATGAAGAATAAAAATTGGTACATATCAAAAATAATAAAGAAAATTTGTATCCCGACCAAGTTAACAATCTAATTGAAAGACGGCAAAAAGGATGACCTTCAGTTAAACGTTGAAAAGTAGTACTGAACAAGTCAAAAAAAAAAAAGACCTCAAAATAAATGTGGCAAATGTAGTAAAAATGGACATTACGCTCAAACTTGTAAGAATTAGAGGGTACAGAAAATTTCAAGTCATTTATGCGGAAAAAAAATTATGGTGATCAGATTTTCACATAATAAGATAATTGTATAATCTTAGTTAATTACTTTTGTAATAATCTTTATGAAACTTATAAATAAAGTTACAATTCTTTTTACTATTAGTTACTATATATATAAAAGTTAACTCATCATAGGGACGAGTCTATTGTTAATGATATCAGAGATATTTCATTAATTTTGATTTAATGTATTAATCATGACGCCTAATAATAAACTTTAATTATATTAGTTGAATAACAGTAAGACTTTACAAACTTTAAAAAATGAACATTAGAACGTACCTGCTAAAATCATGTAACTAAAACGAACATATTTACCAAAATCTCGTAACCAGAGTAATCACACAAAAAACATACCTTAAATGAATGAAAACTAGTTTAATGGATTATTTATTGACTACATGATAAAAAAATAGAAATTATAATAATTAATATTAGTTAGGTGACAGTAAAGATGGTTTTAAAAAATGAATTTGGAAAATTCGGATATTTTATTCTTAGCTTCGTCATTTACTCAATTGAGTAGTTTACATTATTCTCATTTGAAACGTCCAAATAATAGGTATTCTAAGAATTTATTATAAAAATTCTTGAAACGGCCAATGTAAATTTAAGAAACATTTATCTAGCTAAATACTCCAAAATTACATCTAATATATCTTCAACAATTTTAAATTATTACACAAAGATTACAAAATTAACTTTACGTCATTTAAGCCCTAAACAAGTTAAATCAACATTTGATAATTTTGATGAATTAAGAATATTTTCATTTAATTGTGGAAAAGGATTGGATGTTGATAAATTATTATGTCAAATGGGCAAGAATATACCAGAATCACTTGAAACTATTGAAATTAGAATAGATTATGACTTTCAATGGAACTTCAGTGCTGATAGTTTAAGGAAATTTTTTGAAGGATGGAGTCTTAAAAGAGGAGGAGATAAAAAGGTTATTGTAAACAATACAGAACATTCGCTACTTTTTACATTAGGTGATGAACATTTTAAAGTTATTGAAGAACATGGAGTTCAATTTGATATAGAAGAAGGTGAAAATCATATTTTTTAATATAATATCAAATCGGAAAATATTTAAGTACCATATACTAAAAATCAACGTTATATATATCATAAAATTTTTAGTTGTTAATATTGTTTGATTTAGTTTTGTATTATTTTATCATTTTATATCTTAAATTTTTCCAATTTATTAAAATATCATTGAAATTCATCATTAAACATTAAATTAATTAATTCATGATTCGTTAGAAACGGAAAAGATTTATTTTATGTAATGGATTTCGGGGCAACTTTTCTAAATTATATAAAATTCATTTTTTAATCGTTAAAAAAAAGGCATATCTCTTTATCTTTATGTTTTTTAAATTAGAGTCATTGCTTTTAATAAAATTAATAGAGAAAGGACTTTTATGAGATAGTTCTTGCGATATTCTTATTCCGGAACTAGATTATGGTTCTTATATGTAGATCTTATTCTATTTATCCAAATCACGAATTAACTAACTTTAAAATTAAAATAATTTAATTTTAAAGTTATTAAAAAGCAGTTCATAATTAAATAATTATTAATATTTCAAAGCAAAATTACAACTATTATTTTTAATTGAGTATTTGCATGAGATCAAATTAATAATAAGCAATTTATTGATATTTAGAGGACAACTGTTAAATGTTTCGTTGCTTTGCTGCTCTCGTAATTTAATTTTAATTTAGAATAGAGGTATTTGTTGGTTTCAATTTTAGTTTTTACAGTATAGGATCCCTAAAAAATTACATCAAACACGGAAAAAACAAATAAAAAAAAATTAAAAAATATTTAAAATTACAAATTATAATCGATTACTTGATAGAAGTTGCTCTTGATCTAATGATTAGAATGTAGAAAAAATAATTAATGTTCATAATTATTAAAGACTTTGTGCTTTATGAAATCAGAAGTAAACTTAAAAAGAAACAAAGCTGAAAAAGTCTACAGTATTTTACAAAGATTTTAACTGAACAATGAAAAGAGTGAGCGATATAAGTGCATTCAGCTCTTGTCTTATAATTAAATTTATCAAACAATTACAAGGAATAATTCATAATTATGAGATTATTTATTGTGTTAGTATTTGCATAACGATGACAATAATATTAACAAAAAACAAGTTTCAAAACAATTGTTCATTATTTAATTCACATGATAAAAAAAATAAAATATGCTTTATTTAAATTAATTTTATTTAGTGGTATATGTAATTCGCAAGCAATAATTATAAGTATAATTTAAACAATTTAATATACTTTATATATCAAATAGAATAACTTTGTCATTTCTTTATTTTGAATTTTGTCAGAATTGATGTGTTAAAAATATGATACATTTTTGAGATGAAGACTTTATTGCTTTGAAAACGACTCTATAACATTGCTTAAAAACAATCATTTCGCTGGGTTTTTTTAAAAAATTTCTGTTTATCAAACCAATAAATTAATAAAATGGTATCCAAAAACTAAAGTAGATTGTTACATTGGTAAAATAAAACTTGATCTACATATTAAGGGAATATAAACAGTTAAAGGAAAATTAGTTCCACAGGCAAATTTTGATTGTTTTTACAAAAATGGTATAATTTTATTTGTTTAGTGATAAATAAAAAAGAAAAATTAAATTTCGTGGGAAAAGTTAGGGGGGTTGATAAGGGAATTATGTAATTTTGCCCGGCGGTGACAATCACCACCAGTGTTTTCATTTATAATCATCTCGCGAAAATCACTATTTCACTGAAATCTTATCCGTTAGGATGCCAATGATATGCAGTAGGTCACTTTTTTATAATTTCGAAAAGCATTTTGTTAAGATGTGCATTTCTGTCATGAGATTTGGGTTTGTCATCAAATCTGCTTGATTCGATAATTTGCAACATATCTTCACTTAGAAGTGCAAAATATTTTCTATGGTTTCACATATATAACTTTGAAAAATTGCCATTTATTGCTTAATTTGTATAAGTAATACAAAAATTTGTTTCATAATACTGATGTGGTAAATGAATAAAATTTCTATGTAGAATTTAGATGATAGAAAATAATGATGGTAAAATGAAGCAAACATATCATATAATTCCTAGAAGAGGTTTATCTAGAGGATGGACAACACATGTGGGAATATGAAAATTTAGTACAAATTATACGTGAGAAACTCTAGGCTTAAAATGTATATCTTGATAAAAGAATTAATGACTTTCCAAATGCTGGAACGAGACAGTCATCGTCCATAATTTATTTTACATTAAAATATTCACACATCATACACCCAAAGGAGCTATCCCTGGGGGTTTTCAGTCAGCCTACAGGTTATTGACGATTGCTATTGTATTTTTGTGTAATTTAATTTAATAAATAACATTACATTATACTGAGAATAGTATATCTCTAACGCAATCAAGTATTGCTAATGGTGGTGGAAATTCTTCTAGAGTGACATGCTATTATTCTCAATATACACCTAGCATATATAGCTAGTCATGAATAATCAGTAGTGGGACCGTAATCACATTTTGTTTTAGAAAACAAAATGTTTATTTTGCTATGACATAATGGAATCTATGAAAAGAAAATTCTACAGGCCTAGAAAATGAGCTTAAATAAGTTTTTCTCTATGGAAACCAGATTCAGTCATCCAAGATTGTTTCATTGGTTTAGCAGAAACTATTATGTCCTCAGGCTCCACAACCTGAGGCTCCTCAACCTCAATCTCCTGGCTTCAGAATTCCAGACCTCATATAGCATTCTATTTAAGGGATTATTATACTAATCAATGGCTTCTCCAGTTACAAGTTAATAAATGGCAGAAATACATCACCAATTTCCAAAAACTTTTATCCACCATTGAGAAATTGGCTGTTGTTCACTCTCAACCACCTTCAGTATATTGTCACCACTGTGCAGAGTATTTCAAATATAATTTCTCAAATCAATCTCAAAGTTTGCATCACTCAAACATAATAATATGCTCTTTCTACCAGTAGATCACAGCTAATACAATTGATTTAACTGGCCTATCTCAAAACAGATAATAAATATATAATAAATAATAATAATAATAAAATAATAATCAATTAATTGTGAAGGCACAGTGAGTAAGGTGGAGTAAAAGCAATTAACACAGTATCAAGCAATATTTAATAATATTTTGCAATATTACGACACAAGATATAAGTTTATTAAAATATAAAATATAAAGTTTTTAAAAGTAAAGTATAATTCAGTAACAGAAATATTATCATGTGTTAGGATGTCTATTTTACTGTTCCTGAAGTAAGATTACTTTTTTATCTAGTAATAATTAAAATATTTCGATATATTCCATAATATTAAGTAATAATTAATTTAATTAATAATTTTATATCTAACTTATGGGTAACTATCTTAATTATATCTGACAACAGTTGTATTTATACTTTCTCTTTTGTTTACACTTCATCCTTCATCTTTGTACTTCATCCTTCATCCTCCTACAGTCATCTCACCTGGTATAACAATTACCTGAATGTTCATCTAGTGTCACAAAATATCATCCCCCATGACATTTCACTTGATTACCAATTTTGATCATTACAATATGATGTCTTTATGTGTGCCACTCAATTTTTTGTAACTACTGCTTTGCTTCTTAACTTTCCTTCCAGATAGTTATTGGGATTTAGTATTTAAATTTAGTTTGACAATTGGTTTGCCCATTATTGGGAATCCTCATCTAATGTTACAGATAAAAAGATACGAAAAGCAATATTTTAATATGTCTAATTCACCCAAATCTGGATGTGAGAATAATGATTATTCCAGACTACAATTGGTTTTTTTGCGTGATTATTAAATTCAGCATTATATTAATGATTGTGCTTGTTAATCACATTACTCCTTGCTGAATGAATACATGCATATTTTCTTTCACCAGTGTGCGTGAACATATGATGCTTCAAATTCTCTAATCTTTTGAAGCTCCACTTATATCCTGTTCACATAATGATAAAGATGATGATGATGATAATGACGATGATGATAATGACGATGATGATGATAATGGTGATAAGGCTGTAATGATGATAAAGAACTCAAATTTGAAAGAGTTTTGAAATAGAATAAAATACTGAGAAAGAGTTTAATGGAATTAATGAAGAACTAGAAAAATTTGGTGATGGCGAGGAATTAGAATATTTAGAAGATGAAATATTGATTTGAAACATGAATGAACAGCTGGAATTTGAGAAAGAGATGGAAGTCTAGAATAATTCAATGATGTTGTGATATTTGTGATATTACTAGCTAGTGACATTGAAGAAACAATATAAATTTTATTTGTATTTGAGTGTATTTGTGAGCTAAATTGATTTTGATTTGATTTATTATTATAATTGTGATTATTATTGTTGTTATTATTATTATTTTTATTATTTTCAATATTAGGATTAACTTTCACTTGCATATTGAGGATGCGTCAATATTGATGATGTCTTATTATTATTATTATTTACATTATTGTTGATGCTATTATTATTGATATTATTATTATCATCAATGCTGTTATTGATATTATTGCTATTGTTGTTATCATTCAATTCTAAAGAATCAGTCATTAAAGAAAATGGTTATAAAGATCATTCAATTCTAAAGAATTAGGTATTAAAGAGAATGGTCATAAAGAATTTGATGTTTGCAATTGCATAATCCAATTGTTATTATTAGTATTATCACGTGCAATTGGTAATTGAAAAGTATTGTGAATATCGTAAATATTGTGAGAATTAAAGTTGTTATGATGAATATTTCGCATGTTGTAGTAATCATTGTTTAAATTATTTTGAGAGTGTTGATAATATTAGAAGTTATAGAATTTGTAAACGGTGAAATTAAATTTGAGTTTATTGAGGTCGAAGAATTATGAGTAGAATTTATTGAATTAATCGAATTAATCAAATTAACAGAAGAATTGAAAGAAAGAGGTGGAAATTTTATGTAAATAAAGATGAATATGTTTATATTTAATAGCAGATGGATAAAGGAATATTAGGAACGATTGTATTAAAATGATTATAATGATAATCACGATGATTTAAACAATTTAACATTGTAGGAATGATTGAATGTTTAGAAGGAGGTGGTGGAGAAAGAGGGGGTAGAAGAAGAGACGGAGTTGAAGGAATAACTTGTGTCTTAGATCCTATAGATTTTTAACAATTATCATTGAAATCATTTAATGAAAATTATTATTATTATTATTATTATTATTATTATTATTATTTTTACTATGTAACAAATAATTATCTTCTTCCGTACTCCAAGTGTATCTCATTTTCGATAATCATCTTTTATTATCATTATCATCATCAACATTTTCTTCAGTATTATTTATTTACAATATTTTCATTCGATTCATTTTGCTCTATTTCTTGTTCACATTTACTACAACTACACTTTTCTGGTGGTAATGATTTGGATGATGAAAGTTTTGTTTTTGTTGTTGTTTATGGAGTTATCAACTTTTAAGGAGTAATAGATGATGATTAGGATAGTGATGATGCAGTAATAATTGAAGATTTCATAAAAAATTTACGAAGAGTTATTTTTTCAAGTGTTATAAACTGAAATATATTTCTTTTCATCTTCAGTAAGATAACTTTAAGCTTATTATTATTATTACGTGATATCTGCTTAGACCTAGTCTTAATGCTACAACTTTCTTTGGCCGATGTTTTTTGTCCCCATTATTAATATCTTTATCATCATCATATTAAAATCATTATTATTATCACCATCATCATCATTTTTTCGAAATGATTCAGTTTGATAATTATTACTTTACCACGACTTGACCATTATCACGACTTCGTTTATTGAATGAAGATAGTTTGAGAGAAGTTTCAGTACCTTTTTTATCATTATTATTATCTTCGTTATCTTTTTTTGTTTGAGTTATTTTTTGATGACAATGAAGATGATGGTTTCATTTTGGAATGCCATGAAAGAATATATTGGAGAGTTGTTTATTATAAAATATTTAATGTTCGTTAAAAAAAATTATAATAAAGAGAACAATATATAATAACACATCAAAATTTCATTAGTATTATTATATATATTATATATTATATGTGAAAGTATATTGGAAATTAATCAAAAATATTTAGCTTGAGTATCCATACATGGTATATAAGTTCAAATATATAATGCTTTCTTCCTTAACTTCTTATCGTCAATACAATATATATTCTTGACACAAATGTAATTCTCAAAGTATAGTAACTTTATACTAGATTCGATTAACTAATAAATATAAAGTAAATCTTAAGTTGATTGAATATTATTAAAAATCAAAATCAATAATTTTGTAGAAATTTTAGTTACCTTTTTTGTATAAAAAATCATATCGTATCACGTTTACAATATAATATTTATGATTAAGTATGAAACTATCTGATATAATGATTACCAAATAATAATCAAAATATGTCATAGTACCATTAGATTAGAGTAATTGAGAAATTTATATTTTCATTTTGTACAATTAACTTTTTCTTTGAAAGAATTCGTTATTATTCATTCTCAAATTATTACACAAAAATAAATATTTATTTTTAGGCTAATGGCTATTCTTTAATTTATTTAATTTATTATTTTTAATTTAAACCGATAAAAACTAGCATTATAATTATAGCAAACCTAAATAGGAAACTGAAACATGCAATAATTATTTTATTAATTTTATAATTATCGTGGTAAAGCAATGCAGTAAATTTACGATATATTTAATATTGCAAGTTATGGATTCAAAATTTATTTTTGTTTTTATACAAGAAATTTTAATGATTTTATTCCTGTAGTTAGATTTTGGTCATGATCAAAAGAATATTATAGGATTTCTATAAATATTATTTTTAGTAATAAACAAAATTGGTACAACATAACTAAATCAATATACAAATAGCTATAAACTATAATAATAAATATATATACTGTATATAATAAGTAATACATAGTACGTAGACGAAAAATCTTTCCAATAATCATTTTGCCAGAATTTTCAAGGAAGAGAAAAATATAAAAAACACTACAAACAAATAATACAAACAACAACAAAAC